AGATTACCAAAGCGAAGGAACAGCAATTAAATAAAAGAGAATAATGAGAGTGACATTAATCTTGTAAGAGAGACTGATTATAATAAGGGCCAATTAGGTCAATGAAGATTAACGACGTGTCTTTCATAGATTAATTACGTATTAATAATGTTATTACAGTGCTTCAAAAAGCAATTAAACAGACACGTGTATGTGTGTGTGTAGGTGTGCGCGCGCGCAATCGAAATTCATCCTCAGAACTGAATTTAAAACGATGACACTTCGAAATTAATTTCACCCACATATGGTGAATGTTCCAATTAGTGACCAAGTAATCTCGTTGTGAAAATAAATAAATTAATTAATTAATAATGTACGTTTTAATGTACCAAGTAAAACAAAATTGGTTTTATTGGAAAGCTTGTACATTTTGGAGTTTAATTGCGTCATATATTTTTAATTTACCTGGGACGTTTTACCTTATTTATAATATTTTCTACGCACATAAGATAATACGAAGTATGCAAAATTTATTTTGTTGGAAAGCTTGAACATTCGGATTTTAGTTGTATTATATTTTTATTTAATTTATGTGTAGAAAGATTTTCTACTTTATATATAATATTTTTTCTCAAGAGTGGCGCTGATATATAATTTAGTAACGTGAATCATTTAGTTTGTTTTGTCCTAGTTTATAACATAAGATATGAATATCCCAATTAATGGTCAACGAATTATCACGAAAATAAAGAAACATATAAATGTATAAATATATAAATAATATAAATAAGAATAAAATATAATCATTATTCCAATATCACAAATCAGTACAGAATCATGTGTGTATTATTGAGGCGGCAAAAATTTGCTAAATAACCGATCTTTCATAGAGAGTGTGGACGAAACTTGGAGTTGAAACCTTGAGTTGAATGAGAAGGCCTTTTGAGAGTTATCGATGGCAATTTTCTGTGTAAGATAAGAAAAATAAAGGAAAATGAGCGAACCAGAAATGGAGAAGGAGAAAAGCGAGAGAAAGAAGGACGAGTCGCGAGCGAATTTTCTCGTCGAAACAGGACGATCGTCTCGTTATCTCTTCCTTCACTTCTGCACGATGGTTTATCCGCGAACACCTCGAAGCGAGTTCTCACCGACGCGACGCGCTGCATCTCGACCGGAAATGGAAGGAATCGGCGGGCTGCCACCTAGTAATTTCCGTCGGAGCGAGGTGGCCGAATCGAGCAGAAAGAGAGATGGAAACGCCAAGAACAAATTCGCGATTGTATCGCCGTTGGCACGTTGTGACGATAGGTCTCTCTCTTTCTCTCTTTCTCTCCGCTTTTGCCAGCGCGGTGGACGTCGTCCCAGATAAAAGCGACTCCCGGCATCGAGAGAGCTGGAAATACTTTCCGCCGTGCGCTTCGCGTTTTATTAACAGGACCGTGTAACAACGATGATCCAGGCACTACGCAGCCGACGCAGAGATGTCAGCTTGACAAAAATGTATATTGAAGGTGCGCAAGCGATTTTATCCTTTTTGCGACACCAGTGTGTCCGATATGACGGACGTGTCTTTTTTGTTCCTTTTTCCTCCCTCCTCGTAAATACACGCGCAGCTTCAGCAACGTCGCGTTAAGCTCGGGCTGATGGAAAATTGGCGTGAATATTTGCGATCCTTTCCTCCGCTCGTTTTACGCCGCTGATTTACACTCAACCTCTCCCTCTCCCTCCCCCACTTACGAGTCGCGGACACGGGATGTGTTTTGGAAAACTCGCAATTCGCGATGAATTTCGAGCTATACGCCCGTTCCCCAATTATTGTCGCGTTCTGCTACTCGACTATCAGCGCGTCGGCGACAGGCCAATCCGTAATTGGATTTTCGCGCAGGCCTTTCATAGGGATACATTCGGCCCGGGCTTCTACATGTTCCGAGTGGGGCGCCACGTCGCACGGGGCTAATTAGCCGTCGTGTGACACCGCCTTTGATCCCCGTAAATTAATAATGCCACCGCGCTACCTTGACAGCGAATTCAATTCGGTCCCTGCACCCCCGAGTCATGCACTCTCCTTCGAGTGAAAGCCTCGCAGGATTTTCGGTTTTGTCGCATCATACTTTTTTCTCTTATCACGATGAGTCGCGTTAAAGCTCCAGGAGTATGTGAGAGTTCCAATTGAATTCAAACAGCGGCAATAACATCTCGAATAGTGAAGCTTCCGGAGGAAGCTGGGAGTCAGAGTCTAGTAAGCCTAAATTTACTACTTAGGTTTTAGTGGACAGTAACTGTTAAAAAATTGACTATGAAAATAGCAGAAATATCGTATTATGATGAAACTGTTTAATTTGGCTACTTAATAAGTAATTCAAATTTTTAATAGATTGTTGAAAAAATATTTTCTGAATTAAAACTAACCAAATGCTAGCGAGGCCAAGCATATTAGTAATTGCTAACTAGATTATGCAGTCAACAACTCCAAATTCGCAACATTTTAATTCTTATCTCTTGACCAAACATTAGCTATATATTAATCAGAATTAAAACCAGTAAATAATAGCTAGTTTATGTGCATTTATTAGGAAATGTTTAGAAACTGATTAGAAATTGATAATAATTATCTCTATGAACTGTGGCTATATATATATATATATATATATATATATATATATATATATATAGTCTAGTTACTATCGCAATAAGCGTCGACCGAATAGGATCCAGACAGTAATATTGGACAACTACTGGACAGTAATAAAAATTTCTGGTCAATTCTGGCTTATTTCCTACTCGGAATGAACTCATATGACGACAAAAAGGAAATTACAAAGAAACGGAGAATGGAATAATGAGAAAATTCACGATAAATACGATTCGATAGAGATATGAAAAGTAATTTTTCGCGGTTATTAAGTTTGTCAATACTGCTCGTCTTTGTTATTATTACCGAGCAACTTATCGTGTTGCGCAAAAATGGAGGTCCATCTGTGCAAACGAGCAATTTAATATCGAGCAACACTTCCAAGTAATAACGACTCGGACCCTTATATTGGTAACTGCGCACGTACGGACAAATAGCGCCAATAAATGTATTGGATTTTTAGCGTTCTCCCGTCGCGCCGCTTCCCCAGTCGCTTTTATTATCGCCTCGTCGCCCTTGTGCGTCCACGTAACTGTGTGCGTGCTACTGTTATCTCCGATTGAGACAGCTGCACTTTATACGTCGGCCGTGACAGGCGTTTCTGTAACGCGAGACAAGAGCCGATAGGGCGACGATAAAGTGGACGCACGAAACGGCGGCATGTGATACCGTGGTGTAAACCAAGTATGTACGTCCACATGCACACGCCCTCCCCCCCCATCTTGCAATCTTTCTCGCTCTCGTGATTCCGCCGAGTCTTCCGAAATCGCGTTTCAAGGCGAAGGATTGCTCACCAATTCGCACGCGAGTTTAACGAGGCGACTCGTGATGAATGCGCGGATATTTCGAAATAATGAAAAATTCATTAAGAGCGTTGAGAGTGCTGCGACTGCACGGCGTCGGTTTCAAAATAATGAATTAGTTCACACGAGATATCTGTTGGAAAAAGTCACTGGCTGCGTTGCAGACTCACACCGTACAGCTTAAAAGGAAAAATAAAGCTCGCGACAAAAGTTCAATGCATAAGATGGGTTTTCTCCAGGAAATGAAGTGATATTAATCAATTCCGAAATTGCTGTGAACTACACGAATTTTTCCCCGTGCGTTACGTCGTTAACGTTGTTTAAACAAGTGGATTTTAGTAGATCAACACGTCACTTTCGTGCGCTCGCTCTTTAAATATCGGCGTAGGTATTATAAATGACAGGCCGCGTCGTGCAGAAATGCGAGGAGAGAAATTACAATGGTAATGAACGATTTTATGGCAGTCTAATAAAACTTGTAAGTGCACTTTCATCGTCCGCAGGGCGAACCAGCTAAGTACTTCTCAGTTTGATGCCACAAAAGCCGAAATAGTCTGATTGGAAAATCCAAGTGCTTCTCTTATTATCCTACATTCCAATAATAATAAAAGAGATATTCATCCAGAGAGGTTATTGAAGAAAAAGTGATACGTTGTTAAAAAGGATACAATCTACAATTGTGCAATTACTTTCAACTAAACAGGCGATAGTATTCTTAAATAACAGGTCGGCTGAAAAGTTCGTAGGCTGACACATAGATGGTGTTACTAGAATTAAATCCATATGATTTTTAGTTAGTACTAACCTTCAAACGATACGTGTATAAATTTGACAGCTGTCGAACAATTGGTTCGTGAGATATATTAGGTGGTAAACTTAGTTCCTGCGGTTTTTTTGTTTAAAAAACTCATTTATTTCGACATCAAAAGCAAAAAATACATTAATCGAAGTATTTTCCCTCGCTA